ACAACACGTATATCTAACATATACTTAGTCTAACACCCTCCCTCAATCTTAACTATGTCCTGAAACACTCAGGAGGTTAAGATTGCTACGACATCCTTCAAAAGAAGGCAAGGGCAAGGGTTTAGTGAAAATATCAGCAAGCTGATCCTTAGAAGAAACAAACTTAATCTGAAGGAGCTTCTGAGAAACACGTTCCCTCACAAAATGATAGTCAACTTCGATGTGCTTTGTTCGGGCATGAAATACTGGATTGGATGAAAGGTATGTGGCACCGATGTTATCACACCAAAGAACAGGCGGCTGACTTGGGGAGACCTTCAACTCTCGAAGCAATGACTGCACCCATATGGCCTAATGACTAACTTCCCCTTAGCGCATGCCGAGCACACGAAATCATCGGGATTCGGGAAGTTCTTCACGTTAACATTATGGCCATGCGAGTTGTTAATTATATTTCTCATCATCCGAAGTCCGGGGTGGCCTAACCTATCGTGCCAGAGGCAGAAGAGTTCAGAGCTTCTAAAGACGGTCTTGAGGGTAGTGTACACGGGCGGTGATACTATCTTAGTGTAGTATAGCCTTGTGTCAAACGAAGGAAGCCTTTCGATAACATGTTTACCACCTTCATCCCGCTTTGTGATGAGTAGGCACTCCTTGCCGTTTTCATCGTCGGTCTCAGCATGGAAACCATTAGCGCGGATGTCTCTAAAGCTCAAAAGAGTACGAGTCGACTCCGGGTACAACAGCGCATCATTAATGATCAAAGTTGTTCCCATAGGGAGTATAATAGTGGCTCGTCCGGAGCCAACTATGTGAAAACCGCAGCCAGCGATTGTCATAATACTTCCCGAAGATTTTTTAATGGACTCAAAGTACTTAGTTTCTCGTAAAATGGTATGAGTGGTGGCGCTATCGGCAAGGCACGTTTCCTCCATTCGGGCGCCACACACGTTCTAAAATATGACATCTAATTAATGTAATGAGGAAGAAAATACATTAAAAATAAATGCACACATCTCAGAACATAACATGCTATCATGTATAAATAATGGAATGAATGAATAAATGTCATCCAATCGCCAAAGTAAAGAATAAGTTTATGCTCTCATAGAGCTTACAACCAAATCGAATTTATTCGAATTTATTGTATCAAATCACGGAATCATGATAACCAAAGAGGTATGCTAAGTAGACTCGGTGAAGAAGCCATTGACTTCAGCCGCAATCTCCATACTAGTGAGCTGATCCTCCTTAGAAATCATCTTGGAGGCAGCATCTAGTTGCGGCACCGCCGAGGCGACCATGTGGTCAACCTCCATGGCAACGTGGGCGTCATGAGAGACTGCCAAAGCCGCCGCGATGGGCACCACGGGGTTCGCCTCTATGGGCGCAACAAGGGGTGTAGAGATCATCACAGGTGCCGCCACGGGCGCTGGTGGTGCTCCCTCCTGAACCAAGGCGAGGTGTGTCTCATGCGCCTTCCGAGCCTTATATGCATCAACGACCTCCTGTGGTCCGCGGCACTGGCGGGAGAAATGCTCCACCGAGCCACAACGGAAGCAGTCCTGAGGCCTCTGCCCTCCCTTGCCCGGCTTGTTCTGC